GAGGAAGAGGAGGAGGATGAGGAGGAGGAGGAGGAGGGAGGAGGCGCGAGGAGGGAGGATGACGATGAAGTTGGCATGGAGCGGGGGGCGGGGCGAGGGAGAGTGAGGGATACTGCCGGCCGAGAGAGGTGAGAAGGATGACGAGGAGGAGGAGGAGGAGGAGGAGGCGCAGGACGGGGACGGGGACGCGGAGGAGGCAGACGAGGAGGAGGAGGAGGAGGAGGAGAACGGAAATCAGGAGGAACAGAAGGATGGGGGAGCGAAGGATGATGAGGAGGAGGATCAGTGGAGAGTGTGGGCGGAAAGGGGGAGCAGAGCGGGGAGGGAAGAACGGTGGCGACGACGACGACGACACGCCGTCGGCGGCGGCGGCAACTACGACCACAATGGCGGCGGGACGGCGACAACGCTGCCGACGCCGCCAATGCTCCGACGACGGCGTTGGCGGCGTCGGCGTCGGCTTCGTCGTCGTCGGCGGTGGCATTGGCGCGCGCAGCGGCCGCGCGCCGAGGCGTCGCTGCTGGCCTGGGTGCCTCCTCCCGCCGCCGCCGCGGGGGGGGGGCGCGTTCTGGTGGCCATCGTCATGATCATGTTCGTCATCATAAGCATCGCCGTCGTCATCGCCACCGCCATCGTTGTTTCCATCGCCATCGTCATCGCCATCATTCGCATCATCCCCATAGCCATATTCGTCGCCATCGTCATCGTCATCAACATCAACATCATCATCATCATCATCATCATCATCATCATCATCATCATCACCATCCCAATCATCAGCAGCATGATTCTTGTTATCTTCATCATAGATATCATCATCGTCATCATCGTCGTCATCATCACCATCAGCACCATCACATCACCATTACCGTCATCATCGTCATCATCATCACCACCATCATCACCACCATCATCATCACCATCATCATCATCATCATCATCATCATCATCATCATCATCATCATTCTCATCATCAACATCATCACCACCATCATCATCATTAGCATCATCTCCATCGCCATCGGCCTCACCACCACCACCACTATGTATCATTACTACCATTACCACGACCATCACCATTTTATCATCACCACTGCCATCACCATCACCATCATCATCTTCTTCCTCTTTATCACCACCACCGTCAACGTCATCACCATTCCAATCATGATCACAACCATCACCATTACCATCGTCGTCATCTTGTCGTCGTCATCGTCGCTATCGCTATCAATGCCATCGTCATCGTCATCGCCATCGTCATCTTTTCCATCATCATCATCAGCATCATCATCATCATCATCATCATCGCCATCGCCATCGTCATCCGCATCGTTATCATCATCGCCAGCATCATCGCAGTCTTCATGACCCCATCATCAACACCACCATCACCGTTAGCATCATCGCCATCGTCATCATCACAATCATCAACATCTGCATCATCATCAGCACAAGCATCAGCATCATCATCACGATCATCAGCATCATCGCCTCCACTATCACCTCCGTCACCACGACTAGCACCATCATCATCACCATTGTCATCATTAGCATCATCATCTTCATCATCGCCACCATCATCATCAATATCATAGTCATGGTCATCATCAGAGCCATCACCACCACCATCACCATCACCGTCATCACAATACCAACATCATCGTCATGTCAACGTCATCGGCATCGTCGTCATCATCATCATCTTCATCGCCATTATCTTCTTCATTCTTATCACCATCGCCATCCTCATCTTAGCCTTCATCATCATCACCATCGTCTTTACCACTACCATCAACATCACCATCATGATCTTCATAACCATGTTCATTACCATCGTCGTCGTCGTCATCATCATCATCATCACCGTCATCATCATCACCACCGTGATCATCTTCATCAGCATCAGCATCGGCACAACCACCATCATTATCAGCATCATCATCATCATCATCGTCATAGTCGTCATCGTCACCGTCATCGTCATCATCATCATCAACACCATCAGCACCATCATCGTCATCATCATCATCACCATTACCACCATCATAATCATCATCATCACCATGATCATCATCATCATCATCATCATCATCATCATCATCATTATCATCATCATAATTATCATCGCTATCGTCATTGTCGTCATAGTCGTCATCGTCACCGTTACCGTCATCGTCTTCGTCGTTGTCGTCGTCGTCGTCGTCGTCGTCGCCGTCGTCGTCATTGTCGTCGTCCGTGTCCTCATCCTCATCGTCGTCACCATTTCTGCCGCGCGCTGGGTCCTGCCCCCCCGTCCTGGCGGGGAGCTCCTCAGGCCTGTCTCGGGCGTTGCCCCACGGGGCCCCAGATCGGACGGAGGAGCTATGACGAGGATACAAAATCCGTCCTGGAGCGTTCCGCGACGCTCTTCACGGCGTCCTGGAACGCTCTGGGAAGGCCGCGGCGCCCGCGACGTTCTTCTCCCTCCCCCTCCCCGCAGGGGGGGAGGGGAGGCAGACTCTGAGATACGTGTCTCGCCGCTCGGCCGACGGCGAACTCACGTCGTGGGGTTCACAGGCGCGGGCCTGGATGTCGGGTGCGGCTCGCCAGGAGACGACGCGCTCGCGGGGCTTTAGCGTCAGAAGGGCCAGCTCACCCCGCCTCCCCGCGGCCGTCGGGCTAGGGTCTGGCACAGCCTGCGGGTGACCCAAAAGGAGGTCCAGCGAAAAGGGGGTGACTCAACAGATTTGATGCAATAGATCTGTGGGGGTGCAGTAGCTTTTTGGGGCGTGCAAGGAATAGAAGTCCGGGGGGCGCAGATGTATTGCTGGATTCTCGTGCGACGTGCGCTCGTTGCGGTACATGGCGTTCCGCCTCCCTGGCGCCAGACCTGTGCACTACCACTGCCCTGTGTGTTTTTTCACCACTGCCCCGTGTTTGTGTGTGTGTGTGTGTGTTTTTGTGTGTGTTTGTTTGTGTGTTTTGTGTGTTTTATTTTGTATGTTTTGTTGTCTTGTTTGTTTGTGTGTGTGTGTGTGTGTCTTTTTTTTTGTGCGTGTGTGTATATATATATATATATATGTATTGTTTTGTGTGTTTGTGTGTTTTTTTGGGGGGCTTTTTGGTGTTTGTGTGTGTGTGTGTGTGTTTTTGCAACACCCCCTTGCAGCTGGGCCCCCTCTTGCGGCACGAGGCGCATCGCGCCGGGCTCCGTGGCCAGAGACCCCCCGGCGTCCTCGGCCCGCGGGCACCCCCAGGACGTGTGTTGGCCCAAGCGCGTGTTGACTCCACGTCTGAGCACCCTCCTCCTCCTCCTCCTCCTCCTCCGCCTCCTCCTCCTCCTCCTCCTCCTCCCTCCTCCACCTCTCTCCCTCCTCCTCCTACTCCTCCTCCTCTCCTCCTCCTCCTCCTCCTCCTCCTCCTCTCCTCCTCCTCCCTCCTCCTCCTCCTCCCTCCTCCTCCCTCCCTCCTCCTCCTCCTCCTCCTCCTCCTCCTCCGTTTCGCCTTCTCCTCCTCTCCTCCTCCTCCTCCTCCTCCTCCTCCTCCTCCTCCTCCCCCCCCGCCGGCCGCCCTCGCCTTCGTCTCTCTCTCTCTCTCTCTCTTGCACGCCGGACAGTTCGCCTTTGGGTTGCCCCGAGCCCACACGCTGGAGCGGACTGCCTCTGCCTCGCCGCCGATGGAAACCGGAAGTCTTTGCTCCGTCCGGCTCTGCCGATCGCGCGCAGCCCGTGCTGGCCCTCGCTGCGCCGCCGGCGTCGTGCCGAACGGCCTCGGTGGGCAAGCACACGTTGGCGCTGACACGCGTTCCTGGGGTCATCGATCAATGTTGCGGACGGGAAAGTGACCACAGCCACTGCTTCTTGTTTGCGCCGCCTTCCAGCCGGCCGAAAGAGAAGCAGTGGTTGTGGTCATTTCCCCGGCGCCAAGCTCAACGAAAATGACCACAAACAACTGCTTTTGTTGCTGCGGGCTGGAAGGCGGCAACAAAAGAAAAGCAGTGGCTGTGGTCGTTTTCACGTCCCGTAAATGTATCCCCCTGCCATGGCCCCCCGGCTCAGCGCCCTCTCAGGCCATCAGCTGAGCCATGGTCGAGCCAACTTCTGATCCGGCCGGCCCAGCAGGCCCGGCTTGGCGCCCCTATGGCGTCAGCGTCTGGCCGCCAGGATATCGATCTTCGAGCGTTCAGAGGGCTGTCGGCCCGAGGTCGAGGGGGGAGGTGGGTCGAGGTTCGCTCTGCGGGGGGGGGGGGTCGAGGCTCGAGCTTCGGGGGGTGGGGGGAGAGGGGTCGAGGTGCCAAGGGGGGCAGGCAGGCCGAGGCTCGGCCTGCGGGGCTCGAGGGTGCTGGGGTGGGGCGCCCTTGGCCCTCTCTCCATGGGCCTCGCCACGGCCCGGTTCCCCTCGGCCCCTGGTTCCCAGCGCACCCCCCGGGGCGGGTGCGGGGTCGACTCTGCACCGCCGCGCAGGGGATCGCCATGAATCAGGAGGGGAAAGAACACACGGACACAATCAATCGTCGACCCCCAGGAGAATATGGGAAAATATGGGAAGTGGTGGGGAAGACAGAAACCCAGAAAATATGGGAAAATATGGGGAATGTTTCTATTTGTGTGTATTTATTTGTGTGTCCTGGGGCCCCTTTAATGAAGGCCCTGCACGAGGGACGGGGGCCCCCGAGGCCTGGCGCCGTGTTCTCCAGGCGGCGGGGCCCTCCCATGGGCACCCGGGCTGTCAAGAACTGCTCGGGATGGAAGCGCTCCAGGCCTCCCCAAGGGGGCCAGAGCTCGAGCAGGGGATCGAGTACAGAATCGAGCCACCCCCGAATATTAGTTCGCCCGTCGGATCTACGAATGACTGCGTAGAAAGCTTCGTAGATCTACGGACCATTCTACGCATGTGCGAGAAACAGTTTTTCAGGAGCGAAAGAAGGACGTACACGTACATGAATCCACGCTGTTTTCGAGATCTCGCATTGCGCGAATACTCGTGTCGCGCGGCCGGTCTCGCGGGTCAAGGGGCCGTGTTCGTGTACATAGCTGGGCGCGTACGTCCTTTGTGGGCTCCTTAGTTTTGGTGTGCCTCAATTCTGTAGTCGATCCCCCCCGAATCAGTTCGCCCGTCGAATCTGCGAACGACTGCGCAGAGAGCTCCGCAGATCTGCGGGCCATTCTACGCATGTGCGGAAAGCAGTTTTGGTGCACATCAATTCTGTAGTCGATCCCCTGCTCGAGGAGCGTGCGGCGTCGGGGGAGCGCGCGCCGCATCGCCGATGCGGCGGCGAGGCGGCGCGGTCCGGAGTCCGATCCTCCTCCGTCCCGACGTCGCCGGTGCATCGCCCCCGTTTTGTTTTGGCCACGGCCGAGAGGCCCGCAGAAGCGGGTCTCAAGTTGGGCGTGTCCCTCTCCAGGGGGAATCTCTTGAAGGATGGTCCAACAACGGTCTGGGGGCGATGCTGTCAGTACGTTTGACCACTTTTTTTTGGGACATTTTTGGAATCTATTTCTTTAGTCCAGAATCCGCCTGTAGGAGGGCATGTCCGACCTAACGCTGGTCCCAGGGAGAGACCTGGGGTCCAGGGCTCCTCTCCTCAGGGGGGCCCCTATGCCTCGAGCCCGCAGAGGCCTCTCGGAGGGCTCCCGGAGGGCTCCCAGAGGCCTTCTGGATGCCTTCGGGGGCCTCCAGGGGCTCCGGGGAGGCGGGGAGGAGGGATGCAGGGGTGGAGCGCTGACAAACTCCAGAGCAGCCAGAGCAGCAGCAGCAGCAGCAGCAGCAGCAGCAGCAGCAGCAGCAGCAGCAGCAGCAGCAGCAGCAGCAGCAGCAGCAGCAGCATGGAGTAGAGAGAGAGAGGGAGAGAGATAGTGAGAGAGAGAGAGAGAGAGAGAGAGAGAGAGAGAGGGAGAGAGAGAGGCAGCGAGAAAGAGAGAGAGAGAGAGAGAGAAAGCAGCAGCAGGAGCTGGAGCAGGAGCAAGATTGAGCAGGAGGAGGAGCAGGAGGTGGAGGAGGAGGAGGAGGAGGAGGAGGAGGAGGAGGAGGAGGAGGAGGAGGAGGAGGAGGAAGCGACTTTCTCCTTCGTCGTATGCGCGCGTCTCCCCTTCATCGTCAGCAGCTCCTCCTGTAGAACCCCGCCCTGCGCGTCCCTTGATGGGCCAATCTAGTCTTAAGTCGGGCCTGTCCCCCTACAGGGGGATTTTCGACGAAAAATTAAAGATACCCCCAAAATAGTCAAAAAATAGTCAACACAAATAGTCTGGGGACAATTTTTCAAGTATTGTTTGACCTTTTTGGGGTATTTTTGGGGTATTTTTAATTCTTTGTCGAAAATCCTCATGTGGGGGGACAGGCCCGACATAAGACCAGCAGCCCTGCTGCACCGCCGGTGCCGACGACTCATGCAGAAGTC